TAATGATTCCTTTCCTATGTTTTTGTTTTAAAAGGTCATACCCAAATCCAAGGAGCTTGGAGCCTCAAGAGAAAAGCAGACGAAGATGATAAGAGCCACAGAAATGTGAAAAACTTTCATAGCTTTTTTCTGATAACAGAGATTTGTATTCTTGTCCTTGACAAATTAGCCTAAATATATTATTTATGAATCGTGTGAAAGCAGGGAATGCTGAGAAATAGCTTATTTCGTAGTTTATTAAGAGTAAAAAAGCAATACGGAAGGAACACAACCTTTCCCAGAGTTAGGTCTTTAAATTATACTTCCTAGGGATTGTTACCAGAAGACAGAGGTAAAAAAGAAAGAAAAACCTACAAATTAATAAGCCTGGATTTTGGTTTCCTCCAAAGGTATCATTCTGGACTCACTGAATTTGAGCAATAGACATTAAAATACTTATCTAGTCCAACAGATGGGAAAACATACCCAGGAATAAAGAAACTCGCCCAAGATTAAACTGGTGTTTTGGGGACAGCTCAGACTAGATTTTAGGTTGCATATTAAGGAGATCTTCCCGTTATTGACCAGAATAACAAAGCAGTGGTACTTTGAGACTGGGGGGTTGGAGAGGGCAAACGGGTCAATTCTGCTTCATATACCAAGTTCTAAAAGATATTTATAAATGGGAGAATTGAAAGCATTTATGACTTTAAATTGTGACTCGCTGATTATAAAAGTACCCGCATTAAAAGTCTTTCAAAATCAAACACTGGAACGATTTGCAGGGACAGTTTTTAAAATACAGTCTCTTCTTCATACCAAAAGTTATTTGGCTTAGATATAGGTGTAGAATAAGGGGGAATATTCACTCAAAGAATAGTACATAGTTGGTCATTTTCACTAAAAGAGGACAATCAAAATAATAAAATAATAACCCCCCAGCCTTAATTTGGCAGCCCAATTCAAGTTCCTTGACCAATGCACTACTGTGCGCTGTCCACAACAGTAAATGAAGATAACTGGTAATTAATTCCATAGAGGTCTGTCTGAGATTCTGTCTCTTTGTCACCAGGGCTTTTCCAGTGACGCTGTTAAATACTGTTTGCAGAGCCACTGTTTATATCTCTTAAAAAAAACTGTTGCTGAGATCATTACAAATCGGTTTCCTCAAAGCATAATAACAGAACCAAAAGATGCTACACAATGTTTCCGCAGACAGGAGACCCACCTTCCTCAGGTAAATCTTACAAATTTTTCGCAGAGGTATGAAAATGTTTTATCAGTTGTAAAGTTCAATTCCCAACCTAAGGAAATGATAAGTTACTGAAGGGAAGGGCATGCTCACCTTCTAACTAATCATGGAAAGGATGATTAGCTGATGGTTGAGATAAACTTATGAAATTTTAATAGCCCTAATTAGTGGCATCACCTAAGCCAACTAGTGTATGTTCAGGCCATTCTAGTCTCCATTTAAAAGATGAAAATGTTTGATTTAGGAGGGAGTGTCTAGTTTGTTCACAACATTACAAACCACTGTACTAATGTTTTTAAAACCAAAATAATGTTTAGCGATGATATGAATTTGGCCCAAACAACATCCACAAACACGCACACACAGCTAAGAGGACTAGTTAGACACTGAGAATACCCAGACAGAAAGCAGAACGATGGAATGAATCTGCAAATAGTCGGAACTACTAAAAAGAGGTAGGACTTCTGAATGAACCCATCTGGATTAGGAGGCTGAGACCTAAGAATTGCTTGAGCCTTGGAGTTTGAAGTTGCTGTGAGCTATGACACCAGGACACTCTATCAAGGGCAACAAAGTGAGACTCTATCTCAAAAAAAAGAGATAAGATCCATTTTCTTTCTTTCTTTCTTTCTTTCTTTTTTTAATAGAGATGGGATATTGCTATGTTACCAAGGCTGGTCTCAAACTCCTAGCTTCCTACCACACCACCAGTCTCCTAACAGAGACCTGTTTGGGCATAGGAGCTCTACTACCATACAATCCCTTCTTTATTGCCCTTATCTTGTATTATCTAATCTCATAATTCTTTCAAAGAATAGCAACTGTAGAAAACAGGCACCTGCGGCGGCGGCGCCTGTGGCTTAGTGGGCAGGGTGCCCCCAGATACTCAGGGCCGCGGGTTCAAACCCTGCACAGGCCAAACTGCAACAAAAAATAGCTGGGTGTTGCGGTGGGAGCCTGTGGTCCCAGCTACTAGGGAGGCTGAGGCAGGAGAATCGCCTAAGCCCAGGAGTTAGAGGTTGCTGTGAACTGTGTGACCCCATGGCACTCTACCAAGGGTGATAAAGTGAGACTCTGTCTCTACCAAAAAAAGAAAGAAAACAGGCACCTGTACTAAGAATCAAATTCA